ATTACACCTATCTTCAGAAGTTACTTTGTATCATACCCACCTTCAGAAGTTACTTTGTATCGCTTTCTATTATGGGTTTTGTGTACATTTGAATTTTGTCCCTCTCTTCATCTTCCATCTCTTCTCTCATAGGTTCATACATGGGGGATACATGCCTTAGCTCAGAAAGTTTACCAGGCTGTGAGATAAACCCCTTTCATGTGTGATCCCCTATAGTTTCCTGGGTTTCCTCTGACTGAACTATACAAATGAGGACTGTTCCTTTAATGGTAATCTTTCTGGTAAGAAGTTCCTCATTAGACTTGAGTTATTTTTCTTATGACTTACTGTTGGTAGGTTATCTCCAAGGGGCTAAGAAATTCCTGTTTTGAGAAGTCTAGAAAGTCTTTGGTGACTTGATGTTTCATTTTCCTTTTATCCTTTGCTATAGAAACTAGGATCACTAGGGGCTAGAGAGATGGCTCAGCAGTTAAGAGCAATTATTGCTCTTGTAGGTACAGTTTCTAGCACCCACACGACCATTCACCAACCATCTATAACTCTAGTTCCAGGGAATGCAACACTCATGTCTGGCCTCTGCTGACACACACACAGTGTAACACATAACATGCAAGCAAAATTCTCATATACATAAAATAAAAATAAATCTTTAAAAAAAGAAAAAGAAAATAGGATCACACTGTCTTAGTTACTGTTCTATTGCTGTGAAGAGACATCATGACCAAAACAACTCTTATTAAAGAAAGCACTTAATTGGGGGGCTTGCTTCCAGTTTTAGGGGGTCAGTCAATGATCACCATGGTAGGAAGTAGACAGGCATGGTGCTGGAGCAGTAGCTGAGAGCTTTACATCATGAGAGACTGGTCCTGATGTGGGTTTTTGAAACCTTAAAGCCCCCTTCCAGTGACACACCTACTCCAACAAGGCCACACCTCCTAATCCTTCCCAAACAGTTTCTCTAACCGATAACCAGCATCCAAACATCCAGCCTATGGGAGCCATTCTCATTCAAGCCAACACACTCTTTACCTTTCCTTTGTACATTCACATTGATGATCTGCTCACCAAAGCCTCATGAAAGCCAGCAGAGTAGTAAGCCTGTGTCGTGTTCTAATCTAGCCACTGTAACAGTGATGTGATTTTTCTTCTGGCACCCAGGGTGGTACTTGGCATTCAAACTGTAGGGCAGATCACTTTGTGTGTTCTGGCATTCGGTGAAGTGGTTATTAAAGTGCAGGCTTCAAGTGATTGATTGATTGTTTTGTTTTTTGAGACAGGGTTTCTCTGTGTTGTTTTGGTGCCTGTCCTGGATCTCGCTCTGTAGCCCAGACTGGCCTCAAACTCACAGAGATTTGCCTGGCTCTGCCTCCGAGTGTTGGGATTAAAGGCGTGCACCACCACCGCCCAGCTCAAGTGATTTTTAAAGACAAAAATACTTTGGTTAGAACTTAGTGGAAGCTGGGCATGGTGTGGTGTACCCTTATAGTCCTGGTACTCAGAGACTGAGGCAAGGAGATCAGGAATTCAAGGGCAGCCTAGATGACACAGCCAGACCCTGCTCAACAAAAGGACTTGGAGTCCTTCAGACTAACCTGGGCTTTTTGTTTTTGTTAGTGTTCGTGGTGCTGAGGCTGGAACCAGAGCGCTGAGCATGCTGGGAAGCACTGTGCCACCAAGCAATGCCCCAGCCTCTAAATCAATTTGTAATTTGAAGAACAGAATGGAGATTGTAAAGTACCTCTTTTAAATGTTTTCCAGTAAAACGATTACAGCAAAGCCAGTTGGCAGTGGTTTTCCTAGATGGTTGGGCTAGTTACGCTAAAGGATACCCTACTCCTGTGAAGAACGTTTGGTCCAATTGCCATGTGCCGACTGTTAATTAAGATGGTTTGTAGCTGAGCAGCATATAAGGATGTGACTGTTGGACACTCAGGGCTAAACCATGTCAGCCAAACACTCATGCTATGCTTTCCCTGGAAATGCCACCTGCTCTTTGCTTTTAATTTAGAGTAATTTTCCTTCATGTTGGTTAGACCAAAACAAAACACAAAATTAGTCTTTTTTTTTTTCCCTCAAGACACAGTTTCTTTGTGTAACAGCCCTGGCTGTCCTGGAACTCTGAAGACCAGATTAGCCTTGAACTCAGAGATCCACCTGCCTCTGCCTCCCAAGTACTGGGATTAAAGGTGTGCACTACCACCACCCAGCAAAGTTAGTCATTCTTGACACTTCAGTTTTATGGAAAAAGGCACAAGCCAGTTTCGAGTGTAAGAAAAAGCCCACTTATTATTACCATACTAGCTAAAAACACTCAAATATCAACAATGAAACAAGCTTCTGAGTTACAGACTAGAAATAAGTCAGCTGTGGGCAACAGTATTTTTATATTAGTCTGAAATGTGCACCTGACTGGAGCGTCCATCTGTGACATAGAGTGGGTGCAGCTTTATGGTTTTTATCTTGGGACTGGCTCTGCATTTGTGTCCAAGATAAACCACAAAACAGTCTGTTTTTAGAGTTAATTTATAGCACTGGAATTTACTGTTTCAAGCAGATGACTTGGGACCACAGCCTTTTTTCATAATGTGGGCCCAGAGCAACAGGGTCCTTATTTCCTTGTTTTTAAATAATAGAAGTCAGGTCTTTTTTGTTTGTTTGTTTAGGGTTTTGTTTTGTTTTTGTTTGTTTTTTTTTTTTTTTGAGATGGGATCTCTAGTAGCTCTGACTGGAACTCACTATATAGACCAGGCTGTTCTCGAACTCAGAGATATGACTGCCTCTGCCTCCCAAATACTAGGATTAAAGACATGTACTATCACATCCAGACTATTAAATTTTCTAGTAGCAGCATTAAAAGTAAAAAGAAATGGGCAGAATAATTTTAATAATGTATTTATCCTAACATTTTCAAAATACTATTTCAACGTTGAGATTTGCACATTTTTTTTTTCTCTCTTACTGTTTTCAAATGCAGCATATATGGGTGTAAGTCATCCACATTTCCATTGCTCAGTGGCCACATGTGGTTGGTATCTCCCATGCTGAACAATGGAGTCTTGGGTTTCAATGCAATCCTGGGTAGTGACATTTACATAATTGGCATATAGATTTTATTTTGTTTTCTTTGTGTGCATGCTCATGCATGTATAGGTGTGTGTGTGTGTGTGTGTGTGTGTGTGTGTGTGTGTGTGTAGGTCAGAGGACAACTGTGGAGGTCATTTGTCTCTCATTAGCCTGAAACTTGGCCAAGCAGCTAAGCAGGCTGGAGTAGCTGGCCATTGAACTCCAGGGTTCCTCGGGTCTCTACCTCCTATCTTGCCATCACTGGGGTTATGGGCGCACACCACCACATCCAGCTTTTTATTAACAGGTGAGTTCTGAGAATCCAAACTCAGCTCATCAACACTTATGAGGCAAGCACGTTACCAACTAAGCCATCTTCCCAGCTCCAAATTGGCACTGACTGTATGCAAATCAGGTCCTGAAGAACACAGGACGATAGTAATGCTTTTAACCCATGAGGAGGCTGATTCTGAGGTGGCCTGTGTGGACAAGGATCCTAATAGCTACTTGTTTCTTACTAGGTACACTACACGGAGAGTCACGGTGCTTTAGGCTGGACGTGGGCTGCGGCAGGCTGTGCTTTTATTCCAGCTAGTGTTTGCTGTACTCATACCACTCCCTAATCTCGGGCTCTTACTCATGGCTATTTTTAGATCTTAAGACTACTTGTTCTAGAGAGACATTTTCATGAGTGGTTAACTGAGCTGGTTTCTTCGAGCTGAGCATTTCAGTGGGCTAGTCCCCATCCCAGGGTCTTTTTGCCCCAGATTTAGAATCTTTTTTTTTTTTTTTTAATTCCTTTCATTGAGTGGGCAAATTCCAGGTACCTGCCACTCACCCTTGTAAACCTGCAGCTCTCTGTCCTTCCTCAGCACCAGCCTGCATTTGACTTTAGTGCGGGTTTACTTTGTAGAGCCTCACAGATGGCCTGAATGCAGTGTGGTGTGGGAAGGAACTGACATGTGTTGAACATCTGTTGGGTGCTGTGCTCTTAGTTGAGGGCTTTAGAAATATTACTTCAGTGGCCCTGAGGGGTAGAAGTAATGATCTGCACTTTATAGATGAGGAAATAGAAACCCAGAAGAAAGAAACCATTCAGCTTCACATACCAGTTTGTTAACCTCACTTGCCTCTGGTAGATAATAGGTTTGTTGTTGTTTGGTCATTTTTTTTTAAATTTTTTAGTTTTATTTTATTTTATGTATATGAGTGTTTTTCCCAGATGTGTATATGTATACTGTGTGCCTGTCTAGTGCCCTCAGAGCCAGAAGAGCGTGTCAGCTCCGATCCCCTGGAGCTGGGGTTATGGATGGTTGTGTGCTGCCATGTGGTGTGGGTGCTAGATATTGAAGCTGGGTTCTCTGCAAGAATAACAAGGGCACTACACTGCTGAGCCATATCTCCACCCCTCTAATTTTTTTTTTTTTTTTTGAGAGTAGGTACATAGAGCTCAGGTTAGCCTTGAACTGTCCATCAGAATATCCTTGGAGTGCTGGAATTACAGGCAGGAGCCACTGTGCTTGGCTTGAGAGTGGGTTCTAGAACTTGGAATCATGCCTAATTGCAATTTAAAAGAAACTGTAATACAGTCATGTATGGCAGCTCATGCCTGAAATCTAAGCAGTTAAGAGGCGGAGGTAGGAGATAACAAGGCTAGCCTGAGACTCTATTTCAAAAAATACATGGCCTGGGGATTTACTCAGTGGTGGAGAACTTACATAGCATGTGCGAGGCCCTGGGTTCAATCCTCAGCATGGGGGGGGGGGGGGGTGCGGGGGCAGGGCGGGCAGGGGGAGATGTGGTGGTAGGAATTGTGAATGTGCATGTATTCAAAAAACTACCAAAACCACAAGATCCTTCAAAGCTACTGGGATATTTCCAGATCCCTTATCCTTCACAAGGGCTTGCGGTGAGCATATGTACGTTTTGATTTACAGTTACGCCCCCTGATTGCGGCAGGATGGCCCAATGGAACCAGCTGCAGCAGCTGGACACACGTTACCTGGAGCAGCTGCACCAGCTGTACAGTGACAGCTTCCCCATGGAGCTGCGGCAGTTCCTGGCACCTTGGATTGAGAGTCAAGATTGGTGAGTCCTCCTTGAGACACTCCCTGAACTGGGAGGTTTGGGGTTGAGTTGGGGTATACAACCTTTTCTAGCTTCACATTGTACTAACCTTTCATCAAAGACATGAGTGCAGGTGCTGAGGAAGCTCAGGAGAGCAAAGGGAATTTAGTCCCTTATGTTAACGGCTCTCAGCACATTGAAACAGCTGAAGTCAGGTTTGTGTCTCATTCCCTTGATGAGATCTCTGCATTTTGACTCTCTAGCAGTGAGATAAAGATTTTTTTTTTTTAATCTGAGAATTCTGTCTCAGGTAGGAGTTGGGATCCACCACACACGTGGCTTCCTCTATTGAAGGGGAGATATGGGGTAAGAGAAATAGAGTCATAGGGGAAATGATGCCAGCTATTTGCCTCACTCTACTGTAGTCAGGCTTATATCGATGTGCTCTTCTTTTTCCAGAGTACATACCCTGATTAGTGAAGGGCCAGGGACGGGACAGAGAGCACCCCAGCCGGGCGGTGCTGGCTATGCTAATGAGCACTTATGTATACTAATCTGACCACGGGTTCACTGAGAATTTAAGGCAAAACAACCTTATCTGTCCCTTTTTTTTAAATTCATGTGTATGAATGTACATGTTTGTATAGATGTGTGTGTGTGTGTGTGTGTGTGTGTGAGAGAGAGAGAGAGAGAGAGAGAGAGAGAGAGAGGCACACACATGTGTGGTGTAGGCCAGAGGACAACCTCAAGTTTTATCCTTAGGAATGCCTTCTGAGTCCTTTGAGACAGGGTCTCTCACTGGATTAGGGCTCCCCAATTAGGGCAGATCCTCAGGGATCCTTCTGTCTTGGTCTCCCCAGTGCTGGAATTACAAGCATGTGCTACCATGTCTAGCATTTTTTTTTAAATAGATTTTTTTAAATACAATATATTTTGACTACAGTTTCCCCTCCCCCAGTTCTTCTCAGATCTTCCCCAGTTCCCCTCCCACCCAGGTCCACACCCTTTATCTCTCTCACTAGAACACAAACAGGGCACTAAAAAACAGCAATAAAATAAAATGAGACAAACCGAAACAAACTGGAATAAGATGAAACAAACAAAGCAACAGAAGAAAAGGAGCCAAAGAAAAGCAGAGAGACCTATGCTCGTGCACACACAGAAATCCCGTGAAAACACCATACCAGAAACCATAATAGAGACCTCCAAGGAAAGAATGCCCAGACAAAGCATTTTGAGAGAAGGAACCTCAGACATGCTGTTGAGTTGGTCTGGTGTTTACCACCTGCCGCTGACATGCCCAGCATTTTTATGTGAGTCCTATGGATGGAACTCAGGTCCTCATGGCTTGCAAGGCAACTCCTTTACCGAATGAAGCATATGCCCACCTTTATCTCTCCTTTTTCTGTGTTTGGATATCGCTTGTTTCCGTGTTTATTTATTATTATTGTGTGTGTATGGTGTTTCGGGCACAGTGCGTGGACATGCCACAGTGTGCATGTGGAGGTCAGATGACCGCTTCATGGAGTCAGGTTCTCTGCTTTTACCTTTTCGTAGGTTCCAAGGACTGAACTGAGGTTGTCTGGTTTCCCTGCCAAGCACTTTGATCTAATGAGCCATCCTGTCTTCTTTTTGTTTTTTGGGTTTTTTTTGTTTGTTTGTTTGTTTGGTTTTTTGAGACAGGGTTTCTCTGTGTAGCTTTGGAGCCTATCCTGGAACTCGCTCTGTAGCCTAGGCTGGCCTTGAACTCTTGATTTTCCTGCCTCCACCTCCTTAGAGAGCCATGGTTCCAGCTATGTGCTATCACACCAGGCTTTCCAAATTACTCATGGCACACACTTCCTTTTCCTAGGGCATATGCAGCCAGCAAAGAGTCACATGCCACGTTGGTGTTTCATAATCTCTTGGGTGAGATTGACCAGCAGTATAGCCGATTCCTGCAAGAGTCCAATGTCCTCTATCAGCACAACCTGCGGAGAATCAAGCAGTTCCTACAGGTACAATGGGAAGCTGGGTGGGAGATACTGGCCCCACGGCGTGGGGTGGTGGTGTTCTCTCCCCAAGTATTGCTTTCCTCGCTTGGCTAAATGATGAGATCCTGACTTGTACTCTCAATCAAAGGAGAAGTAATTAGCTCCTTCTCAGTTCCCTGTACACTGGCCCCTGGGTGCCGTTACCGGAAATTCACTTCTCATGTTACGGTTGAAGCAATAAAGCAAGGGCTTAATGTTATTCCATGTTATAATAGCATACTAACAACACCTACTCATCATAGGCTAGACTCTTAGTTTTAAATGTTAAAAGTTTGGCCATTAATTGAGTACTCCTGGGTAAAGTCAGCCACTTCCCTATGAGACCAGATGACATACTGTCTCCGGATGGACTCCTGTGGTTCTGCCACCACTGTGGCCACCATTCCCCTCCCTTTCCTTCCCTATGGATTTCAATCAGATTCTGAAGTCTCTTGTTTCATGGAGGCTCTGCAGAAGTGAGTTTTAAGTTAGCCAGGTTCAGTCCATTCCTCCTTAGCCGGCTCCAGTGTTCCACTCTCCGTCTGTCTTACTTACAGAGCAGGTATCTTGAGAAGCCGATGGAAATTGCCCGGATCGTGGCCCGATGCCTGTGGGAAGAGTCTCGCCTCCTCCAGACGGCCGCCACTGCAGCCCAGGTGAGACCTAGAAGAAACCAAGTGCAGAGTGGGGACCTTGGGAAGCAAGCAACAGTGAAATCGTAGTGGTGTAATATGGCTGAAGAGGAAACATGGGACTAGATCAAAGCCTTACCTATACACTGAAAATGACAAAAAAAAAAAAAAAAAAAAAAAAAATTCACACAAGCCCCTCCATCCCACCCCCAACCAACAGGGCTACTGTAACCGAGGGTGAACTTGAACTCTGATTCTCCTGTCTCCTCCTGAGTGGTTAACGATGCACACACCATTTCCTGTGTATGTGGTGCTAGGGACAGAAGCAGGGCTTTGTGCATGTCAGACTGGCACTGGAAGTGTGTCCCCAGCCCTGGAGTTTGGTTGCTGTTCAGTTAGAGTCTTGCTGTGTAGAACTGACTTCTTGTTTGGGATGTCTTCCTGTCTCTGCCACCCAGGTGCTGGCATTACTGGTGGATGCCACCACACTTCCCACACGCCTTTTTCTTGTTTTCATTTTCAGACGGAGTCACATTCTGTAGCCCATGCTGGCCTAGAACTCACTATGTGAGCTGGGCTGTCTCAGACTCATGGCAATCCTGCTTCAGTTTCCCTAGATGCTGAGATTTCAGGCATGGGCCCCCATGCTCTACTTGCATTTGAGACAGTCTCAATACTTAGCCCAGTGTGGTAAACTCTAGATCCTCCTGCCTCAGCCTCCCAAGTGCTGGTATTAAATATGTGAACCACCATGCCTGGCCCACAGGAACTTCCTAATGCCTGACCCCTGAATTAGAACTTAGGAGTCTACAGAGCACACCTCCCTAGCCATCGGTATGGAGCTTGAGAGACCCTAGACCACTTCTGGCTTCTAGAATTGCTTCTAGAGACTAGGCTTTCATTCCTGCCCCAGGCAAGTTTAGGAACTAGGGGAGGGGAGAGGCGCAGCTTTGGGGCTGGGCCCTTTCAAAGTCTCTGTCTATGGTACTTCTTTGCATCTTATCAGTCAGAGTTGTTCCCGTAATGGAGAGAAATGTAGGGGTTGGGCTGTTTCCCCAAGTCTTCTAAGTGGTTTGTATTCTATGTTTTGAGCAGCCAGGAGAAATGGGAAAATTGTCTCTCTAAAATTGGCCTGTTCAGTCCTACTTTGGAGACTTGTGGCAGTAGTGGAGAGAACAGACTGGAAATGAGAGATCTTAGAAGCAAATAATGGGGCTGGAGAGCTGGCTTGGTGGTTAAGAACACTTTCTGCTTTTGAAGCAGACCTGGGTTTAGTTTCCAACACTCACGAGGTGGCTCACAACCATCCATAACTCCAGTTCCAGGGAATCCAACGCCCATTTCAGACTTCAGTAGGCCCCGGGCACCCATGAGGTGCATGTACATACATGCTGGCAAATTACTCATACACATAAAATAAGTAAATAAACCTAAAGAACAGGAAACAAAATAAAATAGAAGTAAAAAGCAGCAGTTTCAGCCTGATTTGAGCCCTGACTGTGTGATAGATGTGAGCCATTAGAGTGTAGACTCAGGGTGTAAGCATTTCTAGCTTGGAAAACTGGATGGATAACATCTCTCCTGGCTCTGCTTTCTCCAAGATTGCTATCTTTATCCCTGGGCCACTGTCAAGAGTGCTGTCTTGTTTTTGTAGCTTTTACTTGTCTTTTCTGTCATCAGACGCCTCTTTCGGTTCCTTGCAAAGTCTGTCGTTTTACGTCTCACGTCCTAACTGACTTTCTCAGGGCAGCAGCCTCTCCTCCATGGCAGAAGCTGTGGAAACACGGTTTTGAAAATCCTTGGGAAATGATTTTTTTTTCATGGCGATATATTGCACTGAGCTGTCATCAGCTATTCTGAATTTATTTATTAACTAGCATAATCTCTACTACTGAGCTATACCCCACATTCTTTCTGGATTTTTTTTTAATTAATTTTTTTGACACTTTACCCATGAGCTGCTTGAAGAATGGGACAATGTCTTAGTTCAACATGTGGGCTCCTAGTTTAATGCAGAGAGTGGGCTTGCAGTGTTTCCTGCTGGTAAAAGCCAGTGACACAGATTGAACAACACAAGGGTTTTTCCCAGCACCCTCCCCTCTTGCATCACTGCCCATTTCCCAACAGGGCAGGTAATAGGATGGGATGGTAATCAGATGACAGATTTTCATGAATTCATGTGTTGTTAATCCTTTTTGGCAGCAAGGAGGCCAGGCCAACCACCCAACAGCTGCTGTGGTGACGGAGAAGCAGCAGATGCTGGAGCAGCATCTTCAGGATGTCCGGAAGCGTGTGCAGGTGACCAGGCCTCACCCAGGGAGCCTCGCTCGGGCTGTGGAGTGTGGTCCTGCATGCACATTTTCAATATCTTCAAAGCTTTCTTTTCCCTCTCCTGAAGGGAACCTCTTTTTTACTTCTGTTTTTGGTTTGTTTGTTTAAACAGGATCTAGAACAGAAAATGAAAGTGGTAGAGAATCTCCAGGACGACTTTGACTTCAACTATAAAACCCTCAAGAGTCAAGGAGGCAAGTGAACGTTAGAGACGTAAAAATCTGCTGAGAGCTAGGCTGTGTCTCTGAGTTTCAGGACCTGACTTCACTCATGTGACTGCACAGCAGGAGAAGCGGGAGCTTCTGGCACGTCGTAGGACAACCTTTTGTTTGTCCTTGAGATGGGATTTGACCATGTAGCTCAGGATAGCCCTTGAGCCTGTGCCATCTTACCTCAGCTCTCCAAGTAGCAGGGACTGCATGTGCACACAGGGTTTGGAGCCTCATTGAGAAGGTTGCGAGCATTCCCCCTGGTCAAGGCATCTTTCCTCCCCCATCAGACATGCAGGATCTGAATGGAAACAACCAGTCTGTGACCAGGCAGAAGATGCAGCAGCTGGAACAGATGCTCACGGCGCTGGACCAGATGCGGAGAGTAAGCTTTCTGGACAGCTTCCTGGGGCTACCCCAGCACCACACGCCTGCTGTGGGAAGACTTGACTGGGTTCTAACGGGTTCCCTCTCTGGAACTGACTAGAGAACATGGTTAGACAGAGTCTGGGGAAATGTCTTTTGACTGTTTTGATTTCCAAACAGAGCATTGTGAGTGAGCTGGCGGGGCTTTTGTCGGCAATGGAGTACGTGCAGAAAACACTCACAGACGAGGAACTGGCTGACTGGAAGAGGCGGCAGCAGATCGCGTGCATTGGAGGCCCTCCCAACATCTGCCTGGATCGCCTGGAAAACTGGTAAGAGTTGGAAAGAAGGCTTGTTTTCCTTCTAAAGAGCTGGGTTCAGTCACAGGCCTTCAGAGGGGGGCTACCTTGTTCATGCATTCGTTTTTCCTTTTTGTTGCTGGGGGGGGGGGGCGGGCGACGACACCCAACCCTTGGACATGTGCTAGACAAATGTTCTAGAACCATTGAACTGAACTACACTCCTAGCCCTGGATACTCTATTGATAAGACGGGCACTTTTTTTTTCTTCTTTCACTTTGAGAAAGAATCTCACTGACTGCATAGGCCAGCCTCAAACCCACTCACTATATAGCCCGGCTCACCTTGAACTTGCAATCCTCCTGCCTCAGCTTCTTAAGCATCTGGGATTTTAGGCATGAATCACCATTCCTGCCATAAGGTAGCTTCTTTTATACACTCAAATTTAGTCCAAGAGTTAAAATCATTAACTAATTTTAACAAATTTTTAATTAAAAAAATGCTTAAATCACTAATTTTAAATATATTTGACTTTTAAATTTAAATAATTCTTTTAGTTGTATTTAACACTAAATTCTCTATTTTAGTTACTTTAATAATTTAAAACATTATATATTCTTTGTAAAGGAGGAAAAAGTTGAAGTATATGAAATTAATACAATGAAAGAAAAAATTCAAATCCATTGAGTGGTACCAGCGAGTCACCAGACTTTGTGACAATCATTTCTGTAGACATCTGTCGTGAATACACATGTGATCTAGAAATCCAGTTTCAGGTGGCAGCTGCTCCGTCTCCTGCCTTCCTTTGCTGCGATGGGAAGGATGGCTCACGTGGCCTTGTGCACGCAAGGCGAGTGCTCGGCCCCGAGCTCTCCCCATGCCCCGGTTTGTTCTCATGTGCTCATCTGTTATCTGCTCTTTTCCTAATACTGTCGTCTAGCGTGGTGAGCAGGGCCTCATAGCGAGCGTGCCCCACCACCTTAAACTAGAAGAAGCTTGGCAGGATAGGGAACCCCGCGCCATGGAGCACGAAACTGGACATTCAGGAAAAGTCCACATGACAAGCCCATCTGTGTCGTCACCAACACTGAGTGCTGTTCATTTCCTGAAAGCAGTTTGTAGAGCTTCCTGATCAGGGCTCCAAGAAGTTAAGTTCTGGGAGATGCCAGAAAGGACGGGTCAGGAGCTCAGATCCCTGCAGCTGTCCACCATTCACCTTCTGCCTTTTATTAAACTGGTGATAAACCATAAAGGAGAGACATTAGATGTAAAAAGAAAGATACTAATATTCCCTATTCTTGGAGGTAGAATCAATCAGCTTTGTCTCTCTTTCTGCCCACTTTTTCTTTCTTTATAATTTTTTTTTTTTAAATATAACCCTGGCTGTCCTGGAACTCATTCACTCTGTAGACCAGGCTGGCCTCAAACTCACAGAAATCTGCCTGCTTCTGCATCCCAGCTGCTGGGATTAAAGGCAGGTACCACCATGTCTGACTTTTCTAGTTGACTTTTTAAATTTTGACATATCATGGTATATCTTTATGATTCATCAAAGAAGAACATTGACTGGGTTCTTGATGAGGCTCAACCCTTTGTCTTCTCTTTCAAGAAGCACTAAGGCCCAGCATGGTGAAGGGACCTGGCCATGCTTGTGCAGATCGTGAATGGCAGTGCTGGCTCAAGCCCACTTCGTGTCCTTTGCCTTCCAGTGTCATGTTTTAATACCTAGACAGCCTAGGATGGGGAAAGTGAGCACAAGTGTTCTTCATATTTGGTCTTGAATTCATTCACAATCTGGTGACAACTCCATTAATGCCTCCTAGTGGTGTAAGCCTTGACCCTTCTTCACTCAACTATATGCTTCAAATTGTTGAAGTGGCCAATCTTATGCTCTGTGTATTCCCTTTCATTATTTTAGGGCCTTTTCTCCCTAGACAGGTCTCACTGCACAGCTCAGGCTGGCCTTGCAGTCACTATGCAGCCCAGACTCAAGGGCCCTTTGCTTCAGTCTCCTGAGTGCTGGGGTTACAGCTAGGCAACAGAGGTAACTGGGAACCACCTTTCGTTATTGGCAGGATAACTTCATTAGCAGAATCTCAACTTCAGACCCGCCAACAAATTAAGAAACTGGAGGAGTTGCAGCAAAAAGTGTCCTACAAGGGGGACCCTATTGTGCAGCACCGGCCAATGCTGGAGGAGAGGATCGTGGAGCTGTTCAGAAACTTAATGAAGAGGTAACCTTAAAAGGCTGAGGTTCAGAAGCAAGGAACAGGAAGAAGCCTGGTCTCCACAGCAGGTGACGTGCTGTCCTTTCCCCTTCTAGTGCCTTCGTGGTGGAGCGACAACCCTGCATGCCGATGCACCCTGACCGGCCCTTGGTCATCAAGACCGGTGTCCAGTTCACTACTAAAGTCAGGTGGGCCCCAGTCTTTACACTTTGGTGGAGCTTTTATTGATGTCCAGTCCTCTTCCTTGAGTATTTCAAGGGGAGGAGGAAGGCTCTGTGATAGGAGAGCTGAGGTGGGAGGTAAAGCCCACTCCTTGAATCAGAACAAATGTGGAGGGCTGTCCTGCACTATGAAATCTCCTTTAGAAACAGAGCTGTGTTGGGTTTTGTACTTAACGGAAGGAACGCCAGCTGCAGAGAGAGCGTGTTCGTGCAGTGTTTCTCATTAAATGCTTTTTATTATCCTTCTGTGAGTCTTACAGCTTGGTTCACATTCTTAGGCATTTTCAATACTTCTTGGTTGAAGGGTCAACATTCAGCTTTAGTGTCAAAGATGACTCTGGGTGGAGCTAGAATTTGGGCTTGTAAATATATTGATTGATTGATCGGTTAAATCTAGACAGGGTTTCTCTGTATAACCTAGAACTTGCTGTCCTAGAATTCACTTTGTAGTCCAGGCTGGCCTTGAACTCGGATCCACCTGCCTCTGCATCCTGAGTGCTGGGATCAAAGGCGTGCACCAGCAATATATTTACTTCTTAGGAATTGAAGTATTAAGGGGTTTTATATTTTTTTAAACTAGAGATCATGGTAGGAAGCCTACTAACTTTCCTTGACTATATGTTTTTAATAGGTTGTTGGTCAAATTTCCCGAGTTGAATTATCAGCTTAAAATTAAAGTCTGCATTGACAAGTAAGTATTCTTTATTATTTTAAAACCATTTTTAACTTTGAATATATTTTGATCAAATTCTTCCCCTCCCCTAAGTATATCCAGAGCCGTTCCTCCTCCCTACCCATCCAACTTTTAAGTTCTTTCTCAAAAAAGCAAACCCCAACCCCCAAAGCCTACAAAACAAAGTACAGCAACACCTCAAAAGAAACAAAGCAAACCAAACCATGTAACAAGATAAAACAAAACCATTACATGGGAGTTGGACAAACCAGCAGAAAGAAAAGGGCCCAAGAGAAGGCACAGGAGTCAGAGAGCCACTTGTTCGCACACTCAGGAATCCCTTAAAAACACTAACCTGGAAGCCATAATATGCACTCAGAGGAGCTGGTGCAGCCCCCTGCAGGCCCTGTGCTGCTGCTGCAGTCTCTGTGAGCTCATAGGAGCTCTGCTTGTGTTGATTCAGAGGGCCTTGCTCTCCTGGTGTCCTCCATCCCTCTTACACTCTTTCCACCTCCTCTTCCATGGGGTTCCCTGAGCTCTGAGGGGAGGGATTTGATGGGGCCATCCTGTTTAGGGCTGAGTGTTCCAAGGTCTTTCACACTCTGTATGATTTCTGGCTCTGGGTCTCTGTATTTGTTCCCATCTGCTGCATGAGGAAATTTCTCTGATGATGGTTGAACAAGGCACTGATCTACGAGTGTAGCAGAATATTATTAGGAGTCATTTTATCACTACATTTCCTTTTTTTGGGGGGGGGTGTTTCAAGACAGGGTTTCTCTGTGTAGCTTTGGCACCTTTCCTGGAACTCACTCTGTAGCCCAGGCTCGCCTTGAACTCACAGAGATCTGCCTGCCTCTGCTGCCTGTATGCTGGGATCAAAGGCGTGTGCCACCACCGCCTGGCTTTTTTTTTTTTTTCCTTTTCCTTTTTTTAAAGACTTTTTTTAGACTTTATTATTTGGTTTTACCCTAGGTTCTTGAGCTATATAGTTCTTGGGCTATCAGGTTCTTGGTCACCCAAGTGTTGTTGGGTATGGTTCTATCTCATGGAGTGGACCTTAAGTCAGATCAGTTATTGGCTGGTTACTCCCACAAGCTTTGTGCCACCATTGCCCTAGCATATCATCTTACGGGCAGGACACCGTTGTAGATAAAGGGTTTGTGGCTGGCTTGATATTCACATTTCTCTTTTGGCAGCGTGCAGAGTACTTCCTCTAACAAAGACGCTGGCAGGTAGGGGTGAAGGCTCTATGTAGGCACCCGCTCGACAGCTCCAGGTTCACTGAGTTGTGTAGGTGTTGTCTGCAGCAGTGGGGCCTGGCTGTCAGTTTATAGCGAGCAACATGTAGTCTCAGCAGCAGCCTGGGTTGTTTGGAATTCCCATGAGGTCCCTTTGGCCAACAACTCAATTAGATGTAACCCAATCCCAGTACTGGAAGCTTCATTTGGTGACAAGAGATGGCCAGGTGGGACTCTGTCTCTTCCATTATTTGGAGATTTCATTGAGGTTGCCTTCATATATGTGTATATATTAGGAGGTTTCTACTATATTAGATTTCCATGCTATCCCATAAATGCCCCTTAAGTTTAACTGTCTTTCCCCATATTCCCTTTCATCCACTACCCACCCCCCGTCCCCTCCCTTGATCCTCCCTTATAGACCCTCCCCATCCATAAATATTCATTCTATTCATTCTATCCCCCCCTTTTTGTGTTTTGTTTTTGGTTTTTTTTTTTTTTTTTTTTTTTGGTTTTTCGAGACAGGGTTTCTCTGTGTAGCTTTGCGCCTTTTCCTAGAACTCACTTGGTAGCCCAGGCTGGCCTCAAACTCACAGAGATCCGCCTGGCTCTGCCTCCCGAGTGCTGGGATTAAAGGTGTGCGCCACCACCGCCCGGCTTGTTTTGTTTTTTTGAGACAGGGTTTCCCTGTGTAGCCCTGGCTGTCCTGGAACTCACTCTATAGACCAGGCTGGCCTGGAACTCAGAGATCTGCCTGCCTCTGCCTCCCATGTGCTGGGATTAAAGGTGTGTGCCATCACCACCCAGCCTATTTCCCTTTCCTAATGAGATCTATCTGTCCCCTCTAGCCCCTTACTCTGTACCTACACTCTGTGGTTCTATGGATTGTAGCGTGGTTATCATTGATTTAACAGCTAATATCCACATATAAGTGAATACACACCATATTTGTCTTTTTGGGTCTGGGATACCTCACTCAGGATGATTTTTTTCTAGTTCCATCCATTTGTCTGCAAATTTCATCCTGTCATTTTCTTTTTAAATGACTGAGTAATATTCCATTGTGTAAATATACCATATTTTCCTTATCCATTCTTCTGTTGAGGGACATCTAGGTTATTTCTAATTTCTTGTTGTTATAAAGAGAGCAGCAGTGAACGTGGTTGAGCAAGAGTCTCTGTGGTAGGATGAAGCATCCTTTGGGTGGATGTCCAAGAATGGTAAAGCTGGATCTTGAGGTAGATTGACTCCCCTCTTCCTGAGGAACTGGCGCCCTGATTTCTGTAGTGTCTGAGTTTGCACTCCCCCAGCCATGGAGGAGGTTCTTCTTACCTCACCAGCGTGAGCTGTCACTTGCTTTGTTGATCTTAGTCATTCTGACAGGTGTAAGATGGTATCTCAAAGTACTTTTGATTTGCATTTCCCTGATGGCCAAGGATGGTGAACTTTTTTTTAAGTGTTTCCCAGCCATTTGAATCTCCTCTATTGAGAATTCTTTGCTTAGATCTATACCCCATTTTTAAAATTGGGTTATTTGTTTTCTTGATATCTAGTTTCTTGAGTTCTTCATATATTATAGCTCTTAGCCCTCTATCAAATGTGTAGTTGATACAAATCTTTTCTCATTCTGTAGGCTGCCATGACAAGTAAATATTCTTAAACTTAGCTCTTATTTGCAAATGAGGGATGGAAAAACAGGAACTTTGACAGACATTTGACTTCAGAGATGTCTCCATTCAGGGATCTTTGTTTTGTAAACAATTGTGTTCAAAAACCTTTCAGAGACTCATCAATTTGCCTCAAATGTGAAAATAAAAAAGACTTGGAAGTATATACAATATTAGAGCACTTCCCTAGCATGTATAAGGCCCTGGGTTCAACACCCATCCTGCAAAATAAAGACGTAGCCTAGAGGTGATGGGGCACACCTTTAATTTCAACAGGAGGCAGAGGCAGGTGGATCTCTGTGAGTTCAAGGTTAGCCAGGGCTACACAGAATAACCCTATCTTGAAAAACAAAAGGGAAAAAAGAAAAAGAAAGATGTAAATAAATAAATCAGACTTGCCAAGTTATATCACAGTTGAAAAAAGTAAGCAAAGATAGCAAGATAATTTATTTTCTGCGTGCATGCGTGCGTGCGTGCGTGTGTTGTATGTGTGTAGAGCAGAAGTAGATATGAAGTGTCTTCCTGTATCACTGTTCACCTTATTTTTTAAGACAGGATCCCTCGCTGGACTTGGAGCTCACTCACTGGCTAGGCTGGCTGGTCAGCAAGCCTGGCATGTAGCCCCCAGCACTGGGGCTACAGACACTGCTGCACCCAGATTTTATGTAATGCTGAGGATCCAAACTAGGGTTCTCATGCCATGCAGCAAGCATGCTGCCACTGAGCCACCTCCCCATCCCCGTGTCCATTCCTAAGTGTACAGTTCAGTAGCATTGGACAGTCACACTGCTAAGCAGCGGGTCTCCAGAATACGGTCACTTTGCAAACCTGAAGTGTTGTCCAGAACAGCTACTCTCCTTTCCTTTAGTATCTGACACTCACTACTTAGTTCCAAAAGAGCTTTTTATATAAATAAAACTAATAGGAGGCTTGGGTATAGGAAGCTGCCTTGCCAGATATTAAAACACGTTACAGAGTTCCAGTTGTTAAATGGGTGTGTTACTAGGACAAGAATGTGTTGATTGATCATTGTAACAAAATCTGCAGTCTAGAAATAGACTGGAGATTAATATAAGAGGTCAGTACATGTTAAAAGGGGTCTCATGAGGTAGAGAGGGCAAAGTGCTCAGTGAGTGGCAGTGGGACAGCTTGGTGTAGATTGGAGTGAAAGGTGAGGGTTTTCTTTTATGGACCATTTTCATAAACTCCAGGCATACTTACTATATTTACATGTTAGCAAAAGCACCCATAGAACACAAGTGCATAGTGTCACAGTGGCACAGAAAAGTGACGACACCACCACTTCAAAAGAAATTCTGACGGTGGTCTAAAGTAAACCATGGACCTACCCTATGACACAGCCATTTCACTCACAGGTGTTAACACAAGAGCAATGAAAAATACACGTGCGTGCCCACTAACAGGAATGAATGAACAGTTTGCACTCTGCCATACAATGGAATACTGTTCACCATCGAAGCATAGGAACTATTTTTTAGTTATTTATTTTTTATTTTATGTACATTAGTGTTTTGGTGCATGTATATCTGTGTAAGGGTGTTGGATCCCCTGGAGCTGGAGTTACAGACAGTTGTGAGTTGCTATGTGGATGCTGGGAATTGACCCTGAGTTCTCTGGAAGAACAGCCAGTACTTTTAACCTTTGAACTATCTCTCCAGCCCCATGAAAGGAACTACTGATAGTTGTAAAACATGAATAAATCTTCAAAGTATTTATGTTGAGTGAAGGAAACCAGGTCTCCTCCCAAAAGAGTGCATATTTTATGTTTGCATGTATATATTTCTAAAAATGCAAATAAATCTGTAGTGATAGAAAATGCAATAATGTTCTGGGGCCAGGGTGGAGTGGAGTATGGGGTTGGGGTATGTTACAAATGAGTTTGGGGGTGGTGGATATGTTCTGGATTATGCTGATGGTTTCGTTGGTGTGTGTAGCATTTATAAATCAGCCCCATAGGTTGTACATTTTAGATTGTGCAATGTATTGGTTATGAATTATAAATAAAAACTAATACAAAAAGGGTATATAAAAAAGAGAGAGATGATTCAGACATGAGGGAGAGCTGATAATTGGCTTGAAAATGTTATACCTAGAAAGATAGAATGTTTTAAAGCTGATCAATTTATTCTACAAACCCACAAGAAGGTTCTATGTGTAAGTAAGTATATAGCAATCGAGAAACAGTTTTATTTATTTATTTGTTTGTTTTTCGAGACAAGGTTTCTCTGTGTAGCCCTTGCTGTTCTGGAACTAACTCTGTAGACTAGACTTGTCTTGAACTCACAGAGATCTGCGTGCCTCTGCCCACTGAGTGCTGGAATTAAAGGCGGGCACCACCATGCCTAACTGAGAAGAACTTTTAAAATAGTACTCTAAAAAGAAGATAAAAATAGAACTATCATAATATAAAAAGATGGAATAGCAGGGACAGAGGTAGCAGTGGTTACATGGGGACAGCGTTTCCAGCCACGTCATGGGAGGTGTTGAGAGTTGTTGGTCACAACAGACCTTTACAGAAAATCCAGCGTGGCTTGGATAATGAGGAAATTTGCCACCTGTATAACTGGAAGTGCAGTTGGGCAAGTACCTGAGATGAGGTCAGTGACTCAGAGGTGTCTTCAGGACATCCCTAGTGTACACCTGTAGACTGGGGTTCCCTTCCACGCTGCTCTGTGGCTGCTAGTAGCAGTTAACAAAGGCCATACGCCTTCTCACATACATCTGTGGAGCAGAACAGCCTAGGACACCATTCCCTCCTTGGTCTGATTAAGACAAGGTGGACTGCGGCCTCACTGCTCTGTGTTTCCTCTGTTCTGATGAATGTAGTGATCAGGGTTCCTCGGAGGTAGAGATGGGCTCTGCCATCCCATGCTGAGCAGGATGGAGAGTTCTTAGGAAAGGTAAAGAAGCTATGGGGTAGACACCCAACTGAGGCTACTGCTTAAGTACATACAGAGTTTTATTTCATCCCTAAAACATAACTGGACAGCTAAAGGCATTTCCCATTGAAGTAGGTTCTGGAAAGAAATGGGGTTGATGACTTCCACTTTGTTAACCTTCCTCTGTGTTCTTGACAGAGATTCTGGGGATGTTGCCGCTCTCAGAGGGTGAGTCCCGCCTCCTTTGTTCTGTTTCATCCAGCTTTATCCTCTGGCTGCTCAGTCACTCGTGTGTTGGTTTTTCTCCCATGATTCAGATCTCGGAAATTTAACATTCTGGGCACAAACACGAAGGTGATGAACATGGAAGAGTCCAACAACGGCAGCCTGTCTGCGGAGTTCAAGCACTTGGTGGGTCGTGGGCGGTGCTCCCGGGAAGGTGCTCCCCTGCACAGAGGGCAATGGCAGAGCAAGAGCTAGTGACAGCCACACATGACACTTGGCTTTTTTCCTTTCTTCCAGACCCTGAGGGAGCAGAGATGTGGGAATGGGGGCCGTGCCAATTGTGATGTAAGTTTTGTTCAGGCTAAAAACTGTCCGGGAGTGTTTTCTTTAAGGAAAAGAGAGAAAGAGCTCTCCACCTGGCCCAGAATTAAAGACCTTAACCTGCTATTTCAGCTACTCTTATTTAGAAACGTCGCTCTGGGCCAGTGTGACATGCTTAGAAGTCACAGGTGCTGTGGAGTTCTCGAAGAGGAGCACTTCCCTGAGAGTTGGGGAGTTGGCCCCCCTTTCAGCAGTGGGAAGTCCCTTGTTGAGCTGTTACCCACACCCATTTGGTAGAAAAGTTTCCACCTTGCCTGGGGCTTCCCAAAGTCCCTTGCCACCACCTGCCAGCTGGCTCCGTTTTCAGGGCCTTGGTGAGGTGGAAAGCAAGTCAGAGTTAAACTTAAGAAAACAGAGCACACACACACACACACACACATACACACACGCACACACACACACGCACACACACACACGCACACACACATACACACACACACCCTACACACACACATACACACACACACCCTACACACACACACACACACATACACACACACATACACACACACACCCTACACACACACACACACACATACACACACACATACACAACCCCAGCATTCAGGAGCTGAGACAGGGGGATCATGAGTTTGAGATTATTCTGTCCTTCAGCACACACATAGAAGAACTGGAATTTCATTCCTGAGAATTCATTCCTTAGTAATTCCTGTACAAAGCGAGAGGCTGCACTGCACCGCCTGCTCGTGGCAGGAAAGGTTGTTACAATCACTTTGGGAAGCAGTTCAGCATTATAAAATGAGCATCCCCTGTGAACCAGTAGTCCCGGTCCCAGGATTATCACTAGAGAAACCTTTGCATGTGTGCAGCAAGGACAAGGACATGATCACAGCCACCAAGTACTCTCCAAACAGCCCAGATCTGAGAGCCCTTAGGGAGACAGGAATGTGGTGTAGTCACAGCGGAATATTCTACACTGTGATAGAAGAAGTGGGGCCTGCACGTGACCACAGACCCACCTCACACCGGGGGTAGGGGGGGGGCAACAGCTGGAACATACTAACAGTAGGATCACACATGTGTGGGGTTCACAGATACCCCATGTAAAATGCACATGCTTGGAGAAACAACCATGAACATGGTTAGGAGGAGCTAGGAAACAATAGAGCCACAAGACACAGCAGTACTGTGTAAGGAAGGGGAAAAAATCACCTGGGGAATTTCAGTGGTAATGGCTTGTCCTTAAACTGGATGGTGATGTAGGCTATGGCTCAGTGGTGGGGTGTGCTTAACCTGCATGAGACACAGAGTTTACCCCCAGTATGGATGGAAGAAAGGAGGGAGAGAGAAAAGGAGGAAGAGAAGAAATTCAAATAAACCTGCCTGCCTGCCTGCCTCCCTCTCTCCCTCCCCCCTCCTTCCCTCCCTTCCTCCCTTCCTGTCTGTGTTTGTATATGGACACCCATGTGCCATGGTGTGCATGTGGAGGTCAAAGGACTACTTGCAGGACTTTTTTCCTTTCACTGTGTGGGTCTCAGGGATTAAACTCAGGTTATCAGGCCAACGCCCTTGCCCACTGAGCCATCTTGCTGGTCCCCAAATGATAAATAAGCGGGGTGGTGTATCCTTGCATATCCATTGCTTTGTTGTTCTTTGTGCCTTGAATCTGTATATTATAAAATATGATTATTTATTATGTAATACATTCTAAAAGATCAGGTTTGAGGATCCTGCCCTTGAGGATCTTTGTGTTGAAGAGAGAAGGTACAGAGCTGTGTCCCTGACACTGTCCACAGCCACCTTATCAGTGTAGTGAGGCCATAGCACATGGCTGTCCTCTGCTGCTGAGAACTCAGCCATTCTCTGAAGAAGTGGCTTTGCTGTTGCAGGCCTCCTTGATTGTGACTGAGGAGCTGCATCTGATCACCTTCGAGACTGAGGTGTACCACCAAGGCCTCAAGATTGACCTAGAGGTGAGTTCTGCACAGAGCCAGCCCGTGCATGTGCAGGGCGACAGGACAAACTGTCTGGTGGCATGTGACTGTTTGCTAAGCCTGTGTTTAGTTTTCACTGTCTATCTCTGAAAGTCCTTGATAGCCATCCACTGAGAAGAAAGTGTTGCTTGAGCACATGAATTGGAAATCTGTCTTACTGACTGCTTAGAATCAATTTGATAAAGTTTGGGCAAGTGAATCTTAGTAGCCACCATTTCAGTATGCAGAAAGTCATGGCATTTAGATCTTGTTTTCCAGCCTTGATCTTATTACATTAGATCTGGAAAAACAGGAATCCTCATGTTTGATTTCTAACACCTCAAGTTCATGGAAAGATATAGATAGATACTTTGCATTTTAGAGATTGCCTTCCAGGTCTCTGGAAAGTCAGGGCTGGGGGACTAGCTTTGAGCCAGTTACGTTTCATAAGTCACTGGTTGTATTCAGACGTCAGCAAGTCCTGCTGCCCAGGCTGATCACTCTTCTCCTCTGGTGCTGAGCTGCTTCAGTCACGCTCCTGCTTAGAGCTGGCATCTGGTGTGGCATGACTTTTCATTCTAGCCTGTGGAGGTACAGGTGAAGAGGCTTTTGGAGCTGTGAGAGCCCAGCTGTCTTGCTAAGTCACCCCCCACCTGTCCCCCATACTCTACAGACCCACTCTTTGCCAGTTGTGGTGATCTCCAATATCTGTCAGATGCCAAATGCCTGGGCATCCATCCTGTGGTATAACATGCTGACCAACAACCCCAAGGTGAGTCCCCTAACACCCTCTCTGAAATCCCTGAGTCCTTGCGCCTTCTCAGGGCCTGGTGCGAATCATCAGCATTCCTCTCTTACCTTTTCAATAGAACGTGAACTTCTTCACCAAGCCACCGATTGGAACCTGGGACCAAGTGGCCGAGGTGCTCAGCTGGCAGTTCTCATCTACCACAAAGCGAGGGCTGAGCATTGAGCAGCTGACTACGCTGGCCGAGAAGCTCTTAGGTGGGTGTGTAACAGCTTCAGATGAGGGTCTGGTCTGGGCGGGTGGTCACTGGGGCAAGGTGTCTGCCCCTCCCAAGAACCAGTGTCTGCCCAGGGCCAGGCACTGTGCCAGGCATATCCTGGTGTTCATTTTTAGGATATGTGGCAGGGATCGGGAGGGCTTTTTTCCTTGAGTGCCTTCCCAGGCCCTGCTCTGACTAGCCTGAGGAGCTATTTTAGTGTGTGTTAGAAGACGGGTAAGAGCCCATTTCTTTAAGAAGCCATAGATGATAGTTTAAAATTTTTTCTTTCCTTTGAAAAAAATCTGGTCTAAAAGTAGCTTTGACCTGTGGTGCTACCAGATACAACCTTCTAACCCCAGCTGTCAGCTTGTTAGCATGTGACACTGGTCCTCAGAATACAGGAGCAAGGAAGAGCAGGAGCCCAGTGGGGCATCAGTGCTGGGCTACTCCAGGGTCAAATGCTGGGGTTGGATGTGTGTGGGCATGTTTGTGCACATGGACACACACATACACACATGCACATACAACTGTGGTACCCTACAAGTACATGAAAGCAAATAACGGGACAAATGTTTGCAAATGAAACCTCTAACCAAGGCCGAAATTCCTCTGTTGATCTTTTCCCTCCTCCAGGCCCTGGTGTCAACTACTCTGGGTGTCAGATCACATGGGCTAAATTTTGCAAAGTAAGTGATCTTGTTGATTCCTATGGTTACCTCCTGGGAGGCAGGTCTGGAATGTTCATTTGTAAGGTGGTTCTTGGGAGGGGCATGGATACTGAAAGCCTCGGACCCCCTTTTCCAGCAGCTAGTAGGAGCTGCCTGAGGATAGAGGAACCCAAGGACATTGGCAGAGCACTGAGGTTCAGGCATGATAGGGCTGGAATGGATGGTGGTGGACTTGGCTCTCCCATTATTCTTTTTCCAGGAAAACATGGCTGGCAAGGGCTTCTCCTTCTGGGTGTGGCTAGACAATATCATTGACCTTGTGAAAAAGTATATCTTGGCCCTTTGGAATGAAGGGTAAGGCTGAATGAAACTTGGCTGTACTGTGTGACCAAGTAACCTGCTCCCAGCAAGCCCGTGACAGGAACAACATTGGTTTTTCTTGGCTGCAGGTACATCATGGGTTTCATCAGCAAGGAGCGGGAGCGGGCAATCCTGAGCACGAAGCCCCCGGGCACCTTCCTGCTGAGATTCAGCGAGAGCAGCAAAGAGGGAGGGGTCACTTTCACTTGGGTGGAAAAGGACATCAGTGGTAAGACCTCCCCCACCCCTCCTGGCTCCCTTGCTCCACCTGGTGGCCACTGCCAACACCTGGCTGCTCCTTGTTCTGTGTACTACTGCCCCCTGGAGGGCAGAGAGGGCCTGTGCCTCCTCCTGAAGGGCTGGCCTGCCCATTTTTCTTGTTTACTCCATTGGCTAATATTCGTGTAGAAAAGTGTGATTTGAATCTTATTTCCACATTCCCTTTTCTACCTACCTTGTTAATACATCTGAGCAAGTGTTTGGCCTGTGATCCAGCTTGACAGCTTCTCTATAGCCAGCCTGGACACTGCCACAGTTCCAAGCTGCTGGGTCTCCAGCACTTGACTGGCATAATCTTTCCTTCCATGTCTCATAACAGGCAAGACCCAGATCCAGTCTGTAGAGCCGTACACCAAGCAGCAGCTGAACAACATGTCATTTGCTGAAATCATCATGGGCTATAAGATCATGGATGCCACCAACATCCTGGTGTCCCCATTGGTCTACCTCTACCCTGACATTCCTAAGGAGGAGGCATTCGGGAAGTACTGTCGACCAGAGAGCCAGGAGCATCCTGAAGCTGACCCTGGTAGTTGTTGATTTTCCATGGTTCTGGCTTCGCTGTTAGGGCAAGGGGGACAGTGCAGGTCCTTGGAGGAGAGACAAGGACATGACCGGGTATCTTAGGTTGGTGAGTCCTGCTTATGGAAGAGCTGTTTATTGGGTACTTTGACAGGGTGACTGATGGGATTCAAGAGAAGAACAGAATCAGGCCTCACAGGAGTTGTCAGTCTGGAGATGAAAATACACACACACACACACACACACACACACACACACACACACACACACACACACTACACCCTCAAAACACCAGGAAGAGAAAATGAGGACAGTTCTCTGATGCTTCTTACATGGTGGAGTCCAGAAGACTTGAGACAGATTTGAGTCCAGTATGCTCCGCTTTCATGTGTTAGCAGTACCAGGTAGGCTGAAGAAAGGCTCTCTGGGACAGCGGCTATTAGCAGCCTGGGGTAGAGTCCACAGAGTGGGGATTGTTGGGGTTGCAGGAGATGACGACTGGAGGGATGTGGAGTTGGCATTTAGAATGTACAGCTGTTGAAACAAGATGCACTTTACTATGTGGGAGTGCGTGTGACTGTATACATTATACAAAAAAACAGAGGTTGTGTTGAGTTAAATCTGTAGTCCGTGGGGCTGTCCCCAGCCTGAAGAGTCAGGGCTGTCTGGTCTGAAGCCATTCAGTACTTGCTGCATTGACTGTCTTCTGTCTGCCTGCTGGTGAGGAGGCTGCTGTGTTCATTTGTGTTTTCTGTGGCTGTTCTTAATCATCGCACCATGCTGAGCTCTGTAATGAGATGTGTGAGTTGGCCTCCTTGCTCTAGCTACTTTTCACCAACTGCTTTTGTCCACGGAGCACCTGTGCACAAATGTGCCAACTCTCGCTGGCTCTGTTCTCAGCGTTCTCCGCAGAATGTCCAGTTCTCAGGCTGGAGGAGTCGGGCTTGTTGACGGTTACTTCCCTTCCCTTTGTTCTGGTGTTGAGTTCTCTTCATTCTGTGGAGGAGTTCAGCTCTTACTTCCTGTCTGTCCCTTATCTCAGCCTCCACCTTGCCTTCAGTTGGGAGATCTGTCTATCAGCTCTTCTCACACTCCTTTCTGTCCTTTTCGCAGAGGACCTTCAAGTCCACGTGCTGATCCTTTTGACCAATTTGCTTCCAAGACCCAGGCCCTTGGTCTGAGGCTGCCACCCCATCCCATCCCTGCTGTAGCTGCCTAGAGACGTTCCTCAGGGGCAAGGCACTGAGCATGAGAAAGGAGTCCATTACCTGAGGGGCTTGTCTGTGAGCATAAGGAGGGAGCACTCAGGGCTTGGGAGCCTGATGAAGGGTAGGAGGTTCCGATGAGCCCCTCAGAGAGGTGAGCTGTGATGACCACTTCCTCTGGTTCTACTGCAAGAGTATTATGGTGTAGACATCACTTAGCCTTTTCCCAGGTCTTCCTTGCCTTCCTCTGGAGGGGTTTTGAGTAAGTTCAGTCATAGCTTGTCCAGACCCAGACAGGAATCAGCCATTTCTTCCTCTTCTCTCTTCTCTTAGTTCTGTGGTCCACACTCCTACCTCAGGCCCAAAGTGGACTTCTCTTCTCTCTTGATCATTGGAGAATGAAATTCTCTCTCTCTCTCTCATGTATTGTGTGTGGGGCTCTTGTTGGAGGTCAGAGGACCTGAGGGTCCCAGCTCTTTCCTCCCATCGTGTAGATCCTGAGGTTGAACTCAGGTCCTCAGGTTTGGCGACAGCAACGTTAGCACCTTGCTATCTTACCTAACTGTCTTACCTTACCCCTCTGTCTCTCTAGGGGAGAGAGTTCTCATCCTAGAGAGCTCTCTGGACCAGGACAGTTGGATTTGTAGATGCACAATTGCCTCAGGAATTCCTTTGGCTCCATGCTAAGTTACCTATTTCTTGGCCAAAAATGAACCTGGATTTTCACGATGGCCGCTTTTCAGTGGCTTCTCTCAGGTGGCTGCCATGTGTCCTGCTCGCTGCTTGTAGGCCCCGGGGTTGTGTCTCAGCTTTTCTCAGCCTACCCACACTGCTCCAGGCCTGCCACATGCTTTGTTCAACTCAACTCCCAAGACTTCCGGCCAGTGCCGCCAGGGCTTTGCCTAACATTTCAGTCCTCACATTTCCAACATAAACGGCAGAGATGGAAGACAGCCAGACCCGCCTCTCCCTCCCCTCCCACACATGAGAGAGAAGGCGCCTTGGCCAGGTCTCCTGGCTGTTGAACATGGACTCAGACCCGGCTGTCCTGTCTTCCTGGTGGCTGGGATGTGTTTGCTAGCTTGCAAGTGGCTTTGGAGCCTCCAGCATTGGCCATCTTTGTCCTCTTACACATTCGGTCCTGTTGGTGTCCGGGCTGGTCACCTGGTCAATTCACAAGCGTGACCAGGTCACAATAGAAGCCTAGCACCACACAAAGGTGTCGAACACTCAGGCAGGGTGGGAAGGAAGCCCAAAATTGGCAGCAGGCTAGGTATAGGTACAGGCAGGCAGGTGTGCCCACAAGTTCTGCAGCTGTGGAAAGCATAAAACTTCAGACTGCCAGGACCTGGGATGTTAGGTGGCTCATGCCGAGGGAGGACAGCCCTGAGAGGTGGGCAGGTGTCTGGACAGTCTCTGTGTGAGGTTGGCTCAAGCCGTCTGGAGAGCCAGGTGGTCCTCCTGCACCGTCCTCAAGCCGGCTTGCAGTCAGTTAAAGCCCGGTCTCCTCTCTGCAGGTGCTGCCCCTTACCTGAAGACCAAGTTCATCTGTGTGACACCGTAAGTGGCCTCCCTTCCCAGTTTGATTTATTTCTACTGTCCTCAGTTGTCCCCAGGAATAGGGAGGACGAGGGGTCAGAGCCACTGTGAAGGGCTGGATGCTCCTGGGCTGGTTAGTGCTCAGAGTGACCTACTTTGTGTGTTTAAAAAGCTTGAGTTTTTATTTTTTTTCTGTTGGAGACCAGAGTTTGATGGCTTGTGTGTGTGTGTTTTGTTCTTTTTTTTTCCCCTCCATTGTGTCTTGTCAACCCGGCCCTTCCCCCTCCTGCCGCCCCCCCCCTTTCCTACAGAACGACCTGCAGCAATACCATTGACCTGCCGATGTCCCCCCGCACTTTAGATTCATTGATGCAGTTTGGAAATAACGGTGAAGGTGCTGAGCCCTCGGCAGGAGGGCAGTTTGGTGAGTGTTTGGAGAGTCGGCCCCTTGTCTGATGCCTGCCTGTACAGACAGAGCCGGAGCCCGCCAGCCAGCCCTACTGGTTGGAGTTGGTTTTAGAGCCATGCTGTCCTCTGGAAATGGATGGCACACATGTGTGATTTTCCAGCAGCCACAGTAAAAACAGTGCAAAGTGGCAAGTGACATTAATGCCTTATGTAAGCAGCACACTATCACATTAGCATCTGAGGAGAAGTCCTCAGACTGTTTCTCCCTCTTCCCTCTCCTACTGCGTCTGGGACACCTTGACTTAGACTAGTTTCAGGTGCTCAGTGGCTATGTGCGGTTAAGGCCATCACTACCAGGGCAGCCTCAGACCTTTGAAATAGAGTCGGGGCTGAAGTGGTGACTGAGCTCTCCTACAGGGCAAGACCCTGTAAGGAGCAGGGAAGTCTGGCTTTTCTGACCTTGCCCGGGCCTGAAGGGACAGGAGACTGGTTAACAGTAATGCCGAGCCCCCTGGCAGAGGGATGGGAACTTGTGAGAAGCTGGCTGCAGTCAGGTGGCTGAACTGGCATTGTCTCTGTGTCCCTGCAGAGTCACTCACGTTCGACATGGATCTGACTTCGGAGTGCGCTACCTCCCCCATGTGAGGAGCCTTCACTGGAAGCTGCAGAGATGACTGAGGCTCCTGCCCCGGGTTCCACCCTTAAGCAGTCAAACCCCAGGTCATCTGAAACTCCTAACTTGGTGGTTCCAGATTTTTTTTTTTAATCTCTACTTCTGCTATCTTTGAGCAATCTGGGCACTTTTTAAAACAGAGAAACGAGTGAGTGTGGGTGATGTGCTTTTATGTAAAGAGGAGAGGATTCTCTGAGTCTGTGATGGGGGGTGTGAGAGCCGGAGGCTGGAGGAAGAAAAAGGAAATGCCTTGTGTCCTGTTCCCCGCCCTCCTTTCTCGGTGGCGGCGGCGGCATCGTTCGTTGTTAGACAAGTGCCTCCCGGTGCCCGGGGCATCTTTTGCCCATTTCTGTGAGCTGACACCCCAGGCTGCCTGCAGCTGAGGACTCTTGGCGTTGCACTTTTAACCTTGCTAATGTCCAAACAGAAGGTAGGACTAAGCCCATAGGTTTCTTTTTAAATTAAAAAAAAAAAAGTAATAAGAATTAAAGGGCAAAACACACTGAGACAGCATGGCCTTTCTGTATCAAAGAAGACTTCAGCTCACAGCCTCTTTGGTGCTTTAAGCATATGAACCCTGAAATGATTTCAGATGAAATCTTTAAAAGACATCTGAGGCTGTGGCTTGGCCTCTGGTTTGAACACGAAGGTTAGAGAGAACCTACATATCCCAGACTCTTCATAAACTGGGTTGTTGTTTTATTTTTTTATTATTATTATTTTTTTTGGGGGGGGGGTTTCGAGATAGGGTTTCTCTGTGCAGTTTTGGTGCCTGTCCTGGATCTTGCTCTGTAGACCAGGCTGGCCTTGAACTCACAAAGATCCGCCTGCCTCTGCCTCCCTAGTGCTGGGATTAAAGGTGTGCGCCACCACCGCCCGGCCATAAACTGGGTTTTATTTACCCAAGAGTATGCTCGCCTGTGGGAGGGGTGAGGCTAGGCCAAGGGCACTGAAAACCTCTGTCGCCCACCCTCCCCCAAGACTCCGGACCCTGTTTCAGGGTCAGTCTGTCCTGTGGGTGCCTTACTGGGCCTAGGATCAACCTGGCTCCCTTTCCCACTTGACCTTGCTAGTGGCATGTCTCCTTCCTGTGCCCACAGGCTCCTGCCCTGCTTGCATTGGGAATCGTGGTCTCAGGACCTTGTGACCAGAGAGCCTGAGTTACAGGTTTGAAGTGATTTAGACCTACGGGTCCTCAGCAAAGCTCAGGGATTAGGGTCCTTATTCTGTTTGCTTGGTTCCCAGGGGTACCTGTAACCACAGTGCAAAAGCTGACTGATAAACTCCAGGTCTGCCACCTCCTATGAGGGGTGTACTCGTGGCCTCCCCCTGAGACTGGCGATTGTCTGCTCCCCATTGGGGCCCCTAGGTGAGGTGGAACAGGGTGCCTGCACCTACCGTGGCCTTCCTGTCACCTGCTTGCCTCAGCCACTCAGCTTGCTTGAACACTTAGTCGTTCAAGGCAAACCTGCTCTGACACAGGGGCATGGCTACATTCAGTGACTCAGAGACCCATACTCAGCTGACCAGTGTCTGGAATTCTGTTTGTTTCACTCAAATTAACCAGTGTCTGAATTAAGGGGTGAGGACATTGTCTCCAAGACAAACTGCTTGCCTTGGCTGCCCCTGGCCTTCTGCTTTGAGACAGTTATTGCTCGCCCTTCCCCAGCAACATTCTTTAGTAGACAATAAGCTGAACTCATAAACTGAAAGGGTATTTAGAAAGGCAAGGCTTGGACCTACTGACAGCTTAAATCCTGGGGACCCAAGGAACAAGGACTCGGGCTTCTCTGGGGCAGGGGTTGTAAAGTTCCCGGCGCTGGGAAGTTACCTGGGTAGCCTGGGCTAACCACCTGTAGTTACAGCTCCAAGGAGAACAGAAACTGGCCCTGTGGAGTCCTCAGAACCACCCGCCCGCTTTCCCTCCCCTGACCCTGCCTGTCCCCAGCCTAGCCCAACCGTGCCTGCGGATTGCTTAGCCTCTCTGTACAGTGGTTTGTATTCTATCCTGGCCACTGCGTTCAAATTCCAATGTATACTTTCTAGTGTAAAAATTTATATTATTGTGGGTTGTGTTGTTGTTGTTGTTTGTTTGTTTGTTTTTTGTATATTGCTGTAACTACTTTAACTTCCAGAAATAAAGATTATATAGGAACTGTCTGGTGGCAGTGGGGGCTGGCTGGCTGGTGGGACTGCCTTTGCCTGGCTTGTGCTCTGTCTGAGGAGGCCTTCCTCTCCTCTCGGGTGGAGCTGTGCTAGGAGCACATGAGTATGGAGTGGTAGGAGCCCAGTTCTGGGTCTGAGGTTCTGCTTGCTTCTCATTGCTGAAGCTAGGCAGCGCCCCCACCCCCATCTTCTATCAGCTGCCCTCCTCCAGAGGAGACAACCCAGGAGCCAAGGGTCATAGTCCAGTGGGAGAGCGTGTCAGAGTGGCCTCCTCCCTCTGCCCTCCTGAAGCTGCTGTGTTTGTTCTGCAGTCAGATAAGCTGCCCAAAGGAGGGCGGGAGGGTTGGGGGGTAGACCCAGGCCTCTCCTTCCACAGTTGGTCCATTATCGCCTTCTATTCAGTTCCATCAGCGGGGACAACTTGCAGACACTTCCCTGGTGGGGGCTGCAGGGCCCCTGGGCAGTCAGCAGTGATAATTCAGGGAAAGGCCACAGACAAGGTGCCTGCTTGCAGCATCTCCCCACCTACTCCCCTCACCACTCAGTACCTTGGAGCCCAGCCCATAGTGCCTCTGTGAGAGATACCAGGCACTCCCCCTGCAGAGATGGAAGCAGAGATTAGTGTTTAGTGCGGCTTGAGGCGGGGGCAGACCCTGCTTCCCACCCACCCCCAGCCACCCTGGGCCCCTGGGCCTCACTGGGGCAGGCTGTGAACTGAACTCCTGCCCCCAACCTTGGTTTGAGCTCTGAGGTAACCTGTCTTACAGTTCCTTGTGCCTCAACTCTCAACCCAAGAGAGTTGGGTTGTGCTCCTGAGTCCAGAGATCCAGTTAGGGCTAACTAGGCCTCTCTATCCTGGTCACCACAGCTGTGGGATGGTGCCACCTGCTGGGCTCTGGGAAGAAGCCAAGGGAGGATGGGCTGTTACCCAGGCTGTCTGCTGCCCCCAGCTAACTGTCCTCAGTGATGCTTTAGTGCAGCCTGGGCTGTAGCTTTGCTCTTCCCGTGGGCCCCGCCCCCAGTGATTCTCGCAGCTGCTTTCCTCAAGCCCTCGAGCCCCTGCTCTCCTGGGCATGCATCCCCGAACACACACACACACACACACACACACACACACACACACACACACACACTCTTCTTTAGCTTTCTGACACTATTCTAGGGCAGCAGCACTCTTGAGATCACAGCAAAGAGAGTAGCAAGAACTCCAAGCTAACCCGGGAACGAAAGGACTTCAGCCCTAGAGAAGTCCACCACCACCCATTGCTAGCCCACTAAAACAGGAGGCAGACTGGTAAAATTACCAAAAAACAGAAAAAGACAAAAACTTTATTCAAAAACACTGTTTACATAAATGTGAGATCTATGTACAAAGTATAAAAAGAATCCCTCTGCTCATCCCCCGCTCCCTTCAGAGAGGCTGAAACCAGGGACTCAGGTCAGCCAGCTCTGGCTGCCTTGTGTGAGCCTCAGAGGGAGGAGCTGGTGAGAGGCCTTCCTGGACCACAACCCATGAGGCAACAGTGCAAACCTGTTCCAGGTTCCACCTCCCAGCAGAGTGGACCAGACCGGGCACTCTGCCTGACCTTGCAGACTGTGTTGCCTGAGCAAGTGGCTGGTCTGTTGCCTTTCATAGGCCGCAGGTTTTTCTCCCCGGGCCTCCTATTCTCCAACATTTAGTATCCCCTCCTTTCTGATAATAAGCAAGGTTGCAAACAGGAAATGAAGAAAGGCTGAAGCCAGGTGTGGTCGTGCATGCCTGTAATCCTAGCATTCCAGAAGCTGAGGCAGGAGGATCATTCATGGCCAGCCTGGGCTACATGGGGAGACCCTGTCTCACAAAACAAATAAAACAAAAACCAAAAGCAAGCAAGCTGAGTCCACATGGAAAGATGAGGATATTAGATGGGGGGAAAAAAAAGAGATGTTGGGAATGTGGACAAGGCCATGAGACTTGAAGCCCATGTCCACCCTGGCCCAAAGATAAGAACCCAAGAACCAACATACTCAGCTCTGGTAGCCCTGACTCAAATTAACCCAGGGCTGCTGTGTTCATGGCTGCAGCCTAGGCACACTGGGGATTCACAAAGTCTGTAGCCCATAGTCACTCAACTCTAATGTGTTACTAGGAGTGAACCCCAATCTCCCTCTGGATGGAGGTTACCAAGTAGGCTTCCACGTGCATGAGGACAGGTGCACACCAGCGTGGATGAAGTCTCTAGCTCATGAGTAAAACTCCAACCAGCCTCCCTTCCTTTTCTAGAATTATTTCACTTAAATAGCTATCGAACTGATAAAGGACACAGGAGAAATAGGTTTGTCTGGAATGATAGGTCCAGCTCTTTCGCGATAGACCCAGGGGGCCCATGAGGCCTGAACAAGAAGGCCGCCACTTCGTTAGCCACAGACCCAGAACTGTGTGAGCAAGGTTGCACTGCCACTGCTCATGACACTAACACACACGCACACGTGCAAAGCTGTCGGTATGTACAGAGATACTACAGTCACAACTGACATGGGCTCTTCACATTGAAGGTAGTTTTCCAAGAGAAGCGTGGCGTCCCAGCGTTCAGGACAGGGAGCCTCTGGCAGAGGTGAAGAGGCCAGCAGGTGGGGAGAGGCGGGGGTCGAGACTGTCGATGGGCCGGCGTAAAAGTTCCTCCACGTGTCTGGCAACATCCATGGACTCATCCAGGTCAAATTCTCCATCTTGGTCGAGGCCAGAGGGGTCGGGGCTAGCAAAGAGAGGGATGTTGAGGAAACTGGTAGGTCTCATGGCTCTAAACCCCCATAGAGAGTCCTCAGTCTGCTCCTCACACAGACCGGAGTCTCATAAGGACAGGACCCATAGCACTCTGGCTGGAACTCCCACCAGGCTGGACAGTAGTCACGGGCTCCTGGGAAGATAGCCTACCACCACTTGTATCTCGTGCTTCATATCATGATCTCAAGGAGTTCATTTTCCCTCACCTGTACTCTTCTGTAAGACAAGGTGATTGGCCAGCGGGTTCTGCCAGTCACCTGTGGCATCCTTCACTTACATATACTACCACACCGTCCACCAACCCACTGTGGTAGTGTTTGGCTACTTAACACTAATCCTCAGACCACCTTAAGGTGAGCATTAGGAATAAGGAAGATTTTCTAGGCCATCTGCAGCTAGGATCAGAATCTAGGTCTTGGCTGGGTGTAGAGGTGCAGGCTTTTAATCGCAGCATTTACTTGTAAGGCAGAGGCAGGTGGATCCCTGTGAGTTCCAGCCTGGACTACATAGTGAGTTCCAGACCAGCCAGGGCTACATAGACCCTGTCTTTAAAATAAAAGAAAAAAAGTGTCAGAGCCAATGCCATCGTGTGACAGCATTTCACACCAGGCACGTTGCTAGGAAGAACTTCAAAAGGAGGCTGGTTTAGTGAGCAGACTGCTTCGCAAGCACGAGGACCCGAGTTAAGATCTGCAGCGCCCACATAAAAAGCTGGGTGTGGCAGTGCGTGTCTGTAACCCAGCCCTGGGGGGGTGGGGCGGGCAGAGACAGGAGGCTCTTTGGGACTCCTGGGCCAGCGAGCTTAAACAAATGGATGAGTTTCAGGTTCACAAAGACAGAATCAGAAAAGAAGGGGGAAAGTAACGGAGAAATGTATCTGATGTTGACCTCTGGCCTCCACATACGTGCGCTCACACAAGCACATATGTACAGAGCCACATAAACACATGGATATATACCATATATGTAAATCCTAAGAACAACAACGAGCTGGTGATACAGCTCAGTGACCCTTGTCAACAAATCAAGCCGGGTGACTTGCGTTCAATCCCGGTGGAAGGAGAGAACCGATTCACACAAGTTATCACCCACCCCACCCCACCCCACATATATTTTTAAAACTTACAAATACAGGCAGTTCACAATTGCCTGTCATTCCAGCTGCAGGAAGTCACACAGGTACATACACACACACACACACACACACACACACACACACACACACACACACACACACGCACCACACTTTAAAACTCAAAGAATCTCTCTGTGATTTCCACATGTGAGGTGGTCCGACCATAATGTGCTGCCTCCCTAATCCCAGCCATCCAGCCTAGGCTACTGTAGCTTAGAGAGGACTCAACACTCCCTTCTGCTCTCACCTTACAACCACCCCAACAGTGGTGACACTGTCCCAACAGTGGTGACACTGTCCCAACAGTGGTGACGCTGTCTCAAGCCCCCTGACAACTGTATATGGAAAAATTTTATGGCGCCATCTCATCTCATCTCAATTCCGTGGGGCAGGAACACCTGTCACCTCTAGTTTACACCCCAGAGAGCCGTGCATCCGTGAAAACTTTCTCAGGATCACATAGACTGCACCCAAATGAGGACAGGACCCTGGTTGTTTAGCTTCAAAATGCCCTGTGTGTTTTCCTGGCTGACTTTCCTTTCACTTGGGCCAGGCTAGACCCTGGGCCTAGGCTAGATGGAGTCAAATCCAGGGGACCTCTGGATTCCTTTGTCCCTCAGTCCTCCAGGGATCCAGCCCGAGGCCAAGCCCCAGTTCCTCCCCATGGACCCCCGTGAAAACAGGACCTACTTCTGTGGGTACATGTTGTAGTGAGCCGGGGGGCACACTACTGGGGAGGGAGCCTGGTCCATGTAGGTGGCGCTGGCTCCAGCATCTGCAGATGCGTTGATAAACCTGTGAAAGGAAGCAGAACACAGCCTCAGTGGCCAGAGAGACCGGGGACACCAAGAGAGGGGCTTCTGGTCAAAGTGTCCCCACTGGTCTCTGGGGCTCAGGCTGTCCATGGAGTCCTCGGTACCATTCCAGTCCAGTGAGTCTTTCCTTCTCAGGGCCTAAGCCACATTTCCTAGTATCAGAGGAAGAGCTAGCAAAGGATAAAGAGGCAATAGGAGGTCAGGCGGTGGTGGTGCACGCCTTTAATCCCAGCACTCGGGAGGCAGAGCCAGGCGGATCTCTGTGAGTTCGAGGCCAGCC